TAGCAGTTTTCTTTCGCGATATTATCTCTGACAGGGTAAACTTAACGCGATCGCAGGAAGAGAAACACGTTACGACTAATACACTAACGTGTACTTACCTTCTTTTCCAGCAATCTCCGTCCGGAGAAAATCAGCGAGGCAACGGGTGCGTTGAGATCGCAAAAGAGATCACAAGCAGGGGCAAAAAATCAAAGCATTGAATATTTATTGAAAACGAATTGCTATGTACAAACGTATTAAATACAAGTGCGTGACATTTATACAGGGTCGCGAGGGAAGAGAGGAACAGCCGGGGAGAGGAGGTACGTCTGGACCGCGTACAATAGTCAATACGTCCGTTGATAACAATAGATAACTGGCCCTAGTCGCTGTGCGCAGTCTGCTTATTTACAACCATTCGCCGTTTATATTTGCACGCAGAGATTGGCGTGCACTGTGAGCGCGTGTTTAGCAGTTTGGAACGACGATATTTATTTGTCTAAAGTGAGGATAGCGTGGCAGAGAGAGAGAGAGAGAGAGAGAGAGAGAGAGAGAGAGAGAGAGAGAGAGAGNGTCTAAAGTGAGGATAGCGTGGCAGAGAGAGAGAGAGAGAGAGAGAGAGAGAGAGAGAGAGAGAGAGAGAGAGAGAGGAGAGAGAGAGAGAGAGAGAGAGAAGTGAAAAGCAAAAGAAATACGCGTTCTCTATTTAAATCCGATAGACAATAACAAACAAGTGTAAACTATTAGAAAAACATTACAAAAACTTTCAAAATTGATATAAACTTTAGTTAATTTATTTAGACTTTAAGAACAAAGTAATTGTTTTTGAGGACACAATAATAGAAGTTTACGTAAAACCGCTAGAGATCGCTAGATATTTACATGTGAAACACAGATTATAGAAAGAGAATTGTTTATTGCGAGCTTGCGTAGGTACAAATAAATCAATATTTTATATGCTTATTTGATCAAAGAATAAATAGCTCGACGTTGTAAACAATACGTACCGATAACAACAGTGCATAGAACGTATGTGCGCAAAAATTTAATTCAATTCCTGGTGTTTTTTTTTTTTTCCGGAAACCCGTTCGATTCTCTATCGCGTATTTTAAGCAAAGATCGTGTCTCTCGACCAATCGTGTTGAGAAACGAGAGCGAAGAATGAATAGCGAGAGAAGAGATAGAAGAGAGGAAGTGGAGGACGAGTTGGAAAAAGGGCGAAAAAAGCACGGCCGCGTGTTCCGTAACGAAGGCAGCAGATATTAAATTCCATCGACAAACGCGGAATCCGCGTGTACTCGGAGCGTCCGAGTTTCGACTTTTGTTTGCGTCTAACGGCGAGAGAGGCGAGCGCGCACGATCGGGCCGGGTCTGCCATTGGCTGCGTACGCATGAAAAATAGAGCTCGTTTGAGCCGGTAAAAGAGGAAACGCGTTGTTCAACGAAAATCAGACTCGAGAGCGAGAACGTGGATACGCTCGAGCGATGCCCAAATAAATTGTGTAAATCTTTTTCGTTCGCCGGAGAAAATGGTAAAGTTCCTTTCTCATTGAATCGTATTTCGTACCACTGCCGAGGCGCACTTCGCAATATTGTCTTTCCCGACGTGTCGATACATCAAATCGCGCTGCTGCGCGACTAATTGCGACACTTTGTCCGAATCTCGTGATAACAACAAGTCTCATTGTTTTCGCAAACAGTTCTCACAATTTGCCGTAAATTAACGTCACGATATTTCCCTTGAAGATGCGTCACACTGTGTGTGTATTTGTGTCGCGTGTGCGCGAGTAAATCAAAAGGCTTCGGCAGTGGAAAAACTTGATTTTGCGGCTTCATCCGCTCTCGCCCGTCTCGCCGATGCGCGAACACGTTCGCGAAGAAACGCACAATCAATTAATCAAATGCGTTTACAATTATTTAGGATTTTGTTAGTAAAAATTGTACAAAGAGTTTTCTTGTTTTTTTTTTTTTGTTTTTTTTTTGTTTTTTGTTTTCTTATCTCTTTCGTCAGATTAATAGATTACTCACTACGATGAGAATAAATAGTCGGCGGAGTTCGGAGATTACTATGACACAATCCAGTAATGAGATATTTCTCTCACATGTGTGCGGCGTGTTTCCGTTTCGAACACATCCAGAGCAAACGCTTCCTACAAAAAAAGAACTGTCGTTTCGAAATTATTTATTTTATAACAAATAAAAATATCTTACAAAAAATCAAATGACGATGACTCGATATGTTGAACACGATATGTTGAGATAATTTTCGACGATGACGATTTTATGAAAAATTCATAAGATATGGTCATATAAAGAATATGTGTGTTATATATATATATATCTCTTCTCGTAACAAAATAAGAGTTATTAAATTTTAATTATTAACAATACTATTCGCTTACTTTATGTTTGTTTCTTTTTTTTTTTTTTTTCCGATTGAAAGAAAGCGATCGATATAAAAGACTACGTGTCGCCGACGATTGTTGTGCAATTTTAACATCTCTTTTTGTAGGAAGAAGAAGAACGCAAAGTCAAATAACGTTCGATCGTGCAGGAAGCTTTTCAGTCTGAAATTACCGCTGCATATATATTTTATTACGTTTTTCCAAGATTGTAGTGATATATATATATATAGCAGCTTCCTGTAAAAGATACACTCGCTCGTTCTGCAGTATCGAACGCGATCTTGAATTTCCCGGCGATCTCGTATAATGAACACTTGAAAGATTGAACATGGAGTATGTATAAATAATTAAGATAACTCTCATAGATACTTCACAAATGTGTATACTGCGCTGATATCGCTCGGCCTTGTAAATTAAGGACTGCAATGAATATACATACTCGCTCAATTCGCACTCATTTCGCTAGAGAGAGAGTGGCAGTAATATTTTTTCTCTCTCGCATAGTTATTGTTCTTAACTTATTTATATTTATTAAATTGTCAACGTCATATATGTCGTATAGACAACATTATAGATTTTTTTTTTCATTTTCACAAGATTATCTACGGTAAACAAACTGAAGTCGAAAATGCAGTCGTGCAAAAGGTCCTCGGGATTCGCGTTCTTTCGTTTCACTTGTCGCGTCTCTCATCTCGATACAAACTTAATTTCCTTAAAGATTCAAAATAAGTAATCTTTTATCGGTTCGATAATTAAACGAAATTATACGACAGACGGAAGAAACAACAACACTCTGAGAGGAAAAGTCATTATTTACACAGCACGTGCGTGAAGCACGAGACTAAAAACGACTCTTTGTCAACTTGCGCGATCGAGGAAGAAAACAAAAAATGTAATCGATTTTTGTCGCACGTGCGCGATGGAATAATGCGAAGTTAAGTTTGTAAAGAATGCAAGATCGTTGAGAAAACGAAGGAGGAATCCTTTTGCGTAATTATTTATCTTAATCGTACACATTCATCTCTTATACGTCTCCTACTTCAATTATCTTACAAATCACGAGCATGAGTCTCTTTAGTCCGCAACGAGGCTACATGCATAGAACAACGGAATCTGCGCGACGTTACAACTTTTTTTTTTCTGGAACGTCACGCGGAATATTTCTCTTTCGTGTTTCACACAGCTATTTTATCTTTCTCCTTTCTCGCTATATAGAATCATTCTAACAAGTATATAAGTCTTTCATTATTTTTTTCGTACTAACGACGGCGATTTTACCCGGAAAATATATTTTGCCAAAATGTGGCGAGCGAAGGAATAAAAAGAAATCCGCAATTTTTTAAAATAAATCTCGTACACGTGAAACTCGTTAAAAAAAATGCACTTAATAATTAAGCAGTCGTAAATGTTTTGTATAGTCCGTTTAGAAAATTTGATCGAGAATTATATGCGCATATTAAAGTGAAGTCACAGGCAGAAAACATTTACCGGGTAAATTGCTCATCTCTATTCCGCGCTATAAACTTAACGTCAGGTCACATGTGCTGTTCCTTGTTTTTTTTTTTTTTCTCATCTAGAATCCACGACGGCATCCACCGTGCGGCTTTTTTTCTGGCCCGAACCGAGCGACGGGGGTTACGGGGCTAAAGTTTTGTCAATCGATGGGGTTAACAATCCCGAAAACGATTATGCGACCGCCAACAGAGTGCCGGTCTCGGAACGATCTAGTAATTTACATTGTTGATTAATCGTTTTAACATTCTTTACACACTCTATATGAATTTATATACTGCAACTTCTAATGGTATTGTCAAACATTTATGCACTTCGGCTAAGCGCATTTTTTTTTAAGCTTAATAGTAAAGTGTAAGGAAATCTCTCTTAAACACGCACAACATCGCAGCTTAAAGATTAACTCCCTTTACTTCGAACTCTTTTCTTGAAAAACACACACACACACGAAAAAAAAAAAAAAACCAAATACCTCTCGTACAAGCGCAATCGTCTCTGATTGAATCTTTTACAGCTCCTCTTTTAAATTCAGTTTTCATAATTCTTTGTGCATTGATAAGCTCCTTGAAGTGACGATCGTGTAATTTTTTCAATACGCCGCTCTGTGGCGAGTATTCAATTAAAAAGTTAACGACGAACTTCGAAGTCGCGCGATTCGAAAACGAATAAACTATAAGGAAGAATATCGGTCGCGCAATTAAACGGTTAAATTAATCATAATTAGCACTGCCTTTTGCATCTCTGTGTCTGCCCGAACAATGGAGCGCTCTGGAAATAAAACGGTCGGGCGGAGAACACACGAATAATAATTTCGTTTTTTACGTCAACGGAAATACATTCGATCAATATTATACAGTCGACTCGTATACACTCGTGATATAGATTTCGATTACCTAAAACCAACAACTCGCTTAATTGCTTTAAAAACGGTATATGTTTACGTACATGTACATGTGTATATATATATATATCTTTAGATACATATATATTTCATTTTTTTTCACGAGCATATTTATTTATTATATATATATATATATAATCTATATATATATCTATATATATATGTATATAAATCTATATATATAGATTTTATATTTCTGGAAAAAAAACGCGTAAGTTTCCATCTTCGCGAACACGTCGACGAAACTGACATACAAAAGATCTGTAAACGGATAATGTAATCCTACGTAAGAGTCGGCGGATTCCGATCCGGGATAAAGATCCACCCAGTTTTCGAGAGGGTCGGCGTGAGAGTTTGTTCGGACTCGCGCGCGCGCGCGTGCTATACCATACTTATATTCGTTGTAACAAAAATGTTACGTAACCGCGCGCGGGCGCGATTTTCAAGTCCAATCCACATATATCCCGAACGTGACGCGAGTGCCGTTACGGCGGGAATATCATAAGCTTGTTTGCTGACAGTATCAATTTCGGAACAGAGCGTACGCGCCGATTTATCGAACGTGCTCCCCGCGTATTGCCGACACTAACGTAACGTTCCATTTCGTACCGAATGCCACGGATCAAAATCATAATCTATCCATTTCGATTGGGCGAACGCGAATGCTCCGGATCATTATCGCGGGAATAGAGAGACAGAGAGAGAGAGAGAGAGAGAACTATCGGGAGCTATTTCAGTCGATACGCGTAAACTTCTGCGGGCGGATCGATGTAACGGGGAAAGAAGACGAGCAAGAAATTGCATTCTCTGAAGAAGACAAAGCGGGAAGAGATCGAACGACGTGCATCACGTATGAAACCGAACAATAGAGCGTCGTTTTCACAAAGTACATCGACGTATTTAACACTTACGTAACAGTGAAATAACAATAGATGTGCGTAATTAGAAATTATGTATCAAAAGTTGTATACAAAACGTTATATTTGTTAAAGACGATTGTTTTGTTGTCAAATTATATAAGACAAGAATAGACACGGATACGCATATTTCTTCGTCGTCAAGATGTCGATTTCTGCGCATCTCTTTGAGATGCGCGGAGAGAAATTAATTAGAGAGAGAATCACGTTTTGCACAAAGAATTTGTTGTTTGCATTATTGTTTGTCGCAAACGCATCGGACAATTAGTGATTTTGTGCATTTTGTTTGTTTGTTTGTTTTTTTTAATGATTTCGTAACGGCTATCGATTAAATTCGCAGCGCTATATTTCGCAGCGATGTATGTATACGATGACAGGCCAAACGGAGAATCTGATACCTAATGTCACGAACGGTTGAAAAATTCTGAGCTCGAGCTGAGCTCGTAAATTTCCACGTCTTCGTTCTTCATGTACGTAGTATCTTGGTAGTACAATACGGTTATCATCGACTCGCGCGCATGACCCACGCGCGCGCTATCACAAACGATTTACGTCCGTCCCAGTCAAATTTATGGATCGTCACCCCCTATGTAGGTACTAACTTTTGGTCTGACTTGGTCTAGCTTGTGGTAGATGACGGGCAGTTCCACCAATTGCCGTTTAGCTCGCCGATCATAGAAAGCCGGATAAGGTTCCAGCCTTCCAGTTCTTTATATCAGGTATCGTTCGACTCACCGGGCTTGTAACCGAGGTTTTTTCGTTGCAAGAAGAGGTGAATCTCGCGGAAGCTCGGCCGATCGACGTCGTTTCTCTGCCAGCACTCCCGCATCAAATCGTAGATCTCTTTAGGACAGTTTTTTGGCAGCGGTAGTATCATCTGCGCAACGTAAGCGAAAGAGTGATGGATTATAACATCGTTACATCGTACATTTGTGCTTACACACGTAACATCGCAAATTAAATAATATTGCGATTGCACGCGACAAAAACGTGTATCTGTACTTATATAATAAAATATACGTACGCTTTTACACATCACATCAGAAAACAGATTACTCTTGTCATTATTTAATAACGCGACGATGTTAATAAATGAAGTGCGCGGCGTGATTAAAGAATATTTTGCATTCGTAATTAATTATGCGTATTTGTAACTCTGCAAAATTCAAGAGAGCGGAACAACTAATTCTTACACAGTGCGTTATTTTGAAACATCGTCAACGCTGGAAAAATGAACACAACGAGCTTGTGTGTGTGTGACGTGATATTTATTATTATATAAATTACGAGGCAAGAATAATTTCGCCATTTTCGCCATTTTCACATCGCGACCTACTTTTATATAATTATTGTGTGTGTTCGGCATCGCGCACGGTTACATTCAAACTTGCTTTTTTTTTTTTTTAACGACCGTTAATTGTCTTACATTTATTTCAAATAAAGAAGCAAAATGTACTGAAACTCTCTCTACTTTGAAAAAAAAAGAGTTGCTCAGAGAAAAAAGAGAAAATATAACACAGGAATCTACAGAGAGAAAGAGTAGGGTAATCAGACGTCTAAAAAGACGGCGATAAATAGCGGCGTTCAAAGTCCTGAAAGATTCTTGTGAGGCACTCGACGACGAAATCAAGTGCTTAATACGCTCATTACGCTAAGTACGTTGGACACAATGAAGAAAAGGGACGTCGAGAAATTACTTCGCGCACTTACCCTTCGCTCGTCCTCCTGATAAAAGTAAGTCGCGTTCTCCACTATTCGATGATCCGGAAATTCTTCGAAGGGTTGCTCCCGCGCGAACGTCAAAATCTCCCACAGCGTGACGGCAAACGCCCAGACGTCGCCTTTGCTTGTGTACCTTCCCTATGCAATGTAAACACATCCAAGAAAAATTTCACAAAAGCTCGTTTGTTATGCATGTCGCATGTTTGCTGCGACAGGTTTTTGTTATTTGCAATTTAAGAGCAGCTAACATTTCTACGTTCTGACGTAATTGCGTGAGTCGCTTTTACGCGTGTTGTACAACAATTTGAAATGTTTATTTGCTTGTAATATTCAATATTATTACTGAAATATACGTGTGCTATCATAAAAACATATTAAAAGTGTAACAGAAAGAAAGAGAGAGAGAGAGACAGAGACAGAGAGAAAATTTGATATTTTTCTACTTTAATATTAACATATCCGCGGTATTCTTTGCGCTAAACCACAAAAAAGATTAAGAGCAATCCTTGCTCAGTATGGAAATCTAATGTTTGAGCGCGAGGAATAATTTATGGAAACTATATGCACCTTCGAGTTTCCTAAAGTTCAGTCGAGTAACTCAGTTAAGCCCAAGCTTCGCGGTACGCTGCAAAGCAGTTACATGGTTTTACTCTTTTCCTCACATTGATGATATTTCGCTACCATCGGCACGGTATGCGCGCACGATCCGTCAGGTAAAAGCAATTTTGCATTAAAACGCCGACAATATCTATATACGCATGAGGCAAAGTTTTTAACGAATTTAAATAAAATCATCGCTATCTATGAACATATTAGCGTTTCGTCAGATAAATAAAAAAAAAAAAAATATATAGAAGATTACCGCGCGCGCTCTGTGTATATTCACTGATAATGAAATAATTTAAATTTATTTTACTTCTATTACGATTCATAATAATAATCCTGTAAAAAGAAAAACGTTCGAATTATGCACGCGATTATAAGAAGAAATCGCAATGGGAAGCACGAATTATAATGAACGAAAATACATAAATAAAAAAATGGAAGGTTGGTAGATCTGGCTAAATGGCAGAGTATCGTAATTTCGAAAACAATTTATAACACAACGAGCAATGACGTACACTTGATGTAAAATTATTTCAACGTGTGTGAGAGTACGTATATTTGAATTGCATAACATCCATTGCCGTTAGCATAACGGGAAGATGACATATGCAAGAAAGCTCTTACGCATATTTGAAGGAGTAACTTAAGACGTGATTCAATTATCTATCAAAGATACACAATCTCTCGCGTGCACACATCTCGTTGCTTCTATTTTAATTTAAATTATTATTCAAGTGAAATATTTATAAACAACGATCTGAGCATTTTTCTGTAAATATCACAATATATTCCGTATCTACTTTAAGTATTAATTTTTAAGTGCATATGTAACTTTAACAATAATTAAAAAAAAAGAGTCTTTTAAAGTTTCTCTCACATTTAAAAATAGACAACTATCGAAAAATAAATGTTGTCACGACAAATGACCATTCTCCTTCTTGCAAAATGATCTCCATGATCGCAAGATCCAATGCGCGATCGACGTGAAACCATTAAATCGACGGTAATCCCGGATAATTCTTGAAGCGGTATTTCGCGCGTAGAAACGAGGTCGTTTCATTAGCGCGGCACAATGGCGGAGGTCGGATAAATGATGGGCAATAATGAAACATTAATGGCACAGTCAGTTTGAAACGACGATGCCAACTAGCTATTCAATACTATATTTCCCTCCCTCATTTCTGTTTCGTCGCGAATTACCATTTTGATATTAATTTGCTGTTATACAGTTACGATTCATATACGACTTCCGTAAATTATGATAAAGAACAGAATGTTAATATATTTCCCCGCACGCGTATAGATAACAAATATATATATATATATATATATATATATATATATGCATATCGAAGTTATAAATTTATATCCACGCGACATATATATATAATTAATTAATTGTCTAGATAAAGAGATATCAACCTAAATTGTAATCTCACATAATATATTCAAATTAACAAAAATATATATATGTGTGTGTGCGTGTGTGTGTGTGCAAAATAACTTACGCGTCACATACTATATATAAAGCCGTAATAAAATTTTATAATGTTCAAAAGCTTAAACCAATCAACATCAATATTAAATCTTCTTGAATAATTATTTCATCTCATTGACATGTTCAGTTTGGGAAATTTATATCATTTATTCTAGAGATATCTTTAAATCTCTCTTCTCATATTTAAATGATCCGAGGATATTTAAATGTCCAGAGCTTCTTCAGTTCTGAGAATAGCTCGTTGTACGAACTCTTCAGTAATTAAAATTCCTCCTTCGAACCGCTCTGTATAATCCTCCTTTGTGTAATTCCCTAAGGCTTGAGGTTTCAAGAATAGAATCTTCTTCTTATAAATTTGTGCGATTAAAATTGTCGATCGCGTAAATATATATAACCGTTGCTATAACAGTCCTGACCGATGCTCGCGCTTTTTATAGCAACGTCTGACTATACAACGCGAATATTCCACTGACATAAACGACGATCGTAACATTTTTAAACCGCCGGCGGAAACAGAGTTCGCGCTTCTTCCGCCGGCGGATTGGCTGGCACGTATTTTTCCGAATTCTCGCAAAGAGTAAACGCAGGTATCTTCCCATCGTCATCCCCGAATGTAACGCCAGCGGAAACAGCCATGTTTCCACGCAAAAGCGGAACGATTGTGTTTGGATTGTCGAGCGGTTAAGCCGAAAAAGCCGCTCAACATCGAAAATGAATTTTCAAACGCGTATTGCATATTTTCTCCGGCACTTTTATAGCTCAATGACGCGTATCGTGTGCGCGCTGCGCGACGGGCAGGCTCAATTCGCTAATACCGACGTGACCGCAGACGGCTCTATCGACCTGATGTCGAGCGGTTTTCGCGGATCGACAGTTTGATATCGAACGCGACACGTTGAGAAATTAAAACGCAAGAAACAAAGCAAAATTAAATGTGAAATCTAATTTCCAATTCGTAATGTATGTATCCGTGTCTTGCGCGAATAGCGGAGATATCTCTTCTTTGAAATAAAAAAGTTAGCTCTTTTTTTTCCAGAGATCAACGTAACACACAAAAAAAGAAATCAGCATAAAAGAATAATCGGTTCTGAGAGTTAAATTTTATTGCTCGTTGCTTTGGAAACGATACCAATAATTAAATCGCATTCCCTAATTGGTGCATTTGTGTAAAAGATGGAGATATGTACCGCGAACACGTAATCTTATTGGTGACAAAGCGCAATTTGTGCGCGATTCACGTGTGTGTGTGCGTGTGTGTAAAATAATAAAGCCGTTTGCGAATAGAAAGAAACCTCTGTATTGATTTTTGCAAGTGAATATATATCTTCGTAACGGGTAAACGCGATACTTCCATCGTGACGATAAATCTATAAGTGAGATGTGCTTCTTCGCTGCGGTGACCGCATTTGTGATGGACAGCGAAAAAATGACGCGACTTGGGCGAGCTAACGCGATACGTAACGCGCGCGCGGCGCAAGAGAGAGATATAGATACTTTTTTTTCCGGATGTGAAAAACAATGAAAAAAGTCTGTATCCGTGTGCGACAACGAATTTCATCGCGTGGATGCGTGTAGTTCGTCAACACGACACGTCCAACTCATGCGTGGAGTGAAATCAAAACGACTCGCGCGTCGCCGATCCCGGTCTCTCTCCCTCGTTCCTCCTCTGTTTCGTCCCGTTTACGAGCGAAAGTCGTTCGCGTCAATTTGATTTATTCCATGTTTTTATCTATAATTCCATCAACTTTTCACATCGCCAATCTTTATTGCCGCTAACGCGCGACGAGACGAATCCGAGAACTAAATCGAAAGCTTCCGGAAAATGCGCGCGACTAAATCTCCCGATACCTGGAAGGCGGAAGATATTGCGAGGGGGATGGAGTAAAAATATAGAGCGCGGCAAGAGCATTGTAAAATATACGCGGTAAGCATTCGTCGTACACTCACCATTAGCATTGATTCCCATGCCATCCATCGTATCGGTAATGGAGGACGTCCCTCGATACGGAAGTAATCCGCTGCGTATGCGCTTCGTCCGCTGCCTAAATCGGATACCTTGATGGTGCATCCGCGACACACTATGCAATTCCTGAAAAAAGAAAAAAAAAAAAAAAAACGATGCGGAGATATATATATATATATAAATTTTTGTCTCTTATTTTCTCTCTGCGTGAAGCTCTTTTTTTTCCAAAATATATTTCCATTTCGCGAATTTTGAACTAAAAAACAATGAAATTATTTGTTTGATCAAATTAACACTTCCATTCTTTTTATTAACGCCAGCCATGAGATCTCTGCTAACTGCACAGCTGCAATATTCTATCAACGCGATATCGAATGCATAGTTAAATGAATACGTGTTTGTGCGTTCTATTTTTTATATTCCAAGCACACACACGACGCCCGGTATCACAAACAAACACAGGAGTTTATCGAAATATCGCACAAGCATAACTAAACGCTAGTTTTTGTTTTTTAGTTTTTTAGTGATTAATTCCCGTATATAGGTGTAGAGATATAAAAAAAAAAAAGTCTTTTCTCACGCGACAGTTTTAGTTTATATTTGTGCACAATTATAAATAATCACAACTATATTTATGTATAATCGATGTAGAAGTTTGTATAACAAAGTAAGTTTTAAAAAAAAAAAAAAACTCTTGAAAGCATTTTTGTCGTCTTGTTGTTTTTTCTCTCTCTCTCTTTCTCTCTCCTTTTCTCTCGTTTTCTCTTTTGTAAACTCACAAAAATTTTTGTTTAAGCAGTTTATGGCAGAGTCGTTGAGAGCGTGGTGAAATCTGCGGTCGTTCGAAGTTTTGCTCTGATTTGCGCGTAAACGTCGTCGTTTATCGTTAACTATACAGGGAGCAACTCGGAGAGTGGTTTAGTAGCTATCACGATGGTTTTATTTTACGCGCGCCGATAGGTACCTCCACACCTGTTGTCAACGTCAGTATTTGTCAGATTTGCCAGTAAATATTTTCTACTTGCGTAACCGTTAAAAAAAAAATCTTGTTTATTAAGTATTTTTTCGTCTATCCGACATAATTTTTTGACGCAATATATACGTATTACTCTACACATGTGTACTACTTCTGTGTGTTACATGTAATTAATTTGAATATACAATTTGTTTGTCGTGCCGCGCATTAAAATTGAGATGAAATGTTTTCGTATAATTTACACAGTCGGAAAAAAAAAAAAAAAATAAGTAGAAGCAACTCAAATATTGGCAAAAATTTTAGTTTTTCAAAAAAGTATATTTGCTTTGCGCAATATTCGTTTTCCGCAATATTTGTTCGCCGTGTTTGTAATTCATATAAAAAATTTATCACTTATTTCCTGTTCTTTGTGTTTTTCGTGTTTTTTTTTTTTTTTTTTGTTTTTGTTTGTGTAATCGATAATCCAATTCCGTGGAAGCTCGGATGTTCTCTTCTCTCATCTAATAAAACGCGCCTATTATTGTTACCTTATATTTGCCATTTAACGTCTAAGATCGTTTAATTGCGAGCGTAATTCTATAAATCACCCAACGAAATTTCAACCCCTTTCTCGTCTAGCTTCTTGTATTCCCTTCGCTTATGTCGCTACAACGATCGCGCCAAGGGCCATGATAATCAATGCCTAACGATTAGAGTTAATACTTCGAACACGTGACTCTCGAACCTCTGCTCCTCGTATCCTCATTCTATTCCCCCATTTCCCTGGGCTTTTAATAGCCGTGCAATATTGGTTGTCGTACTGCGCGCTAACGGGGTTTCAAGAGTTTCTAAATCGCGCGCCGAGCGGAAAAGCACGGGTCTAGGAGCAAACCGGGATCGTTACGTGTAGAGATGCTCGAAGAGAATAAAGGGGAGGAGAGAGAAGACGATAAAACAATCGACCACACAACCGTAATAAAGCAATCCCGTCGTAATGCCCGGAAGCATGCTTTCGTTACGCTTATACAGAAAGATCGAATAGAGCACGCATTTGTTTGTTTGTTTGATACACGAAACACAAGATTCCGTTTTCAGCGATGATCGCTGAAAACACTGCAAACCGAGATTAAAGCGTTTGCCTGAAAACGAATTTAAGATCGATGGAATGTAATGCAATTCCAAATAAAGACCGTGGGGTTAGGCGAGCGGGAGAACCGCATTTTAACCTGGATTACATTATTTCGAGCGTGGTATTGCTCGCGATTGCTCTCTCGCACGCTAAGAAAGTATAATTTATATTGTAATTAATAAAAACACACAAACGTGCGCAATAAGCACCTCGTGCGTATTATTTTTCAAACATTTTATAAAACCTTGCGGAGAGAGAAAGAGAGAGAGAGAAAGGAAATAACCCCGTAGCTAATTTTTTGACATCCATATGAAAAAAGCATTAAAGGATCGCCTTTGTCGTGTTCACGTCGTTTCACTCTCTGTGGCAGAACGTAAAACAAAAAAAAAAAAAAAGAAAAAAAAAAACAGAATTAGCTAGTCCGTCGAGAATATCCATCACCTTTTTTTCTCCATTCGCTTTCATACATATCCTCGTCGGGAGACGGAGGAAAAGATTGACTGGCTTCGCGGCGGTGTTGCGCGGTGGTGCATATGTATGTTTGGTTTTGCGTTTGAAACGAGCAAACCATTAATACGGCAACAACAACTGCACATTAATGAGCAAACCCTCAAAGCAACTTATGGGAAACAGCGGGCGCGCTTACCTTGTGGCGAGGTCTCGATGCACGAAGTCCATTTCCTCAAGATACTTCATGCCGGATGCTATTTGCGCGGCCATGTAAACCAATGTGCCGAAACTGCAACACGAAGAACGAGGTCGGTTACGTCGTGAAGTTTACTCGCAGAAACTCCTCACAGTATACACAGGCGAGACGTTTGCACCAGCAAGCAACGCCACAAACGACGGACACTCTCCCAGCTCTGAGCGTGTACATAGCCGAGCGATATTTTTAACACAAATAATAAAACCGAAACATTCCCGTTTTTTACACTCCGACTACTTTTACAAGATAAATCTAACAACTTAGATATAAATATATAAATTTGCAAAAATACTCTTTTTCTTTTACGAGTTGAGATATATCTTTCTCGCAAATAAAAATAATGCGATATCATTTTTGTTTGATATAAAAAATAGTTGTGTGCGTGTGAGTGTTTGTGAGTTTCGGAAAGTGTTATAAATTTAAACAAAAAAAATGGAACACGTGTATGAAAATAGACTTGATATCTATTTTTTATTATGCGAATTACTTAAAAAGAAGCGGTAAAATCTTTTTCACTTTTAGAGACGTCATTTTTTTTTGCGCTATTTTCCTTCTCAAGTTTGGGAAATTGAATTTGTAAAATCTCTCTCGGACAACGTCGCGCGCTATAAGCGCGTACGTGTTAGTTACGATCGAGCGTTTGCATTCGCGTTCGCTGAGAATACAGGTCGGGGGTGGTAGTATCTACATTTTTACTATTTACATGTCTAGCACATAGGACGCAAACCATTTGCGTCGAAACGACCCTGCGCGGTATTTCTGCGAGAGATATGCCGATAGAGTCGTTCCGATGGTAGGGTCCTTCTACATTTAACGTCGTTACGTTAACGTAAACTCGCATATGTACCAAACGAGCAATAATATGTGAAATAGTTGTGTGAAGTAACTCGTACATTCGGTTGATCGATTCGTTAATACGATTTCTCTCTTGTCTCGTTTAGGTTAAGCTAAATGAAAAATATTCTCTCTCGTTTGAGAAAAAAGAAATTAATCTTGCTTGTTTTATTGATGTTTCATCAAAACTTGTAAAGTTGAAGAACGCTAATTGATCTTAAAAAATTACTTATTCAAAAATGTCAAAGCTGTTCAATTTTCTTATCGCGAAACGCGATATCAATTGCTCGAAGATGAGAATTTGTTTCTCGGATGCAAATCAAGCCGCTAAGACGACAGACGTGAAGTTTTAATAGCGCGGAACGACGCGCGTCTAATATTCGCGCCGCGTAAAAATTTTTCGAGCAACTCAGCGTCGCGCGAATCTTAAAGCTTTTCATTTGCCACGTCGGCAAAATGCGACCCGATTACCGGGCGTAGAAAGCTGAAGAAGGCACACGGGCTCTATCGGTCTCGCGGCTGGATATTGAATTTGCTCGCGCGACGAAACTGACTGCAGTTAAAAGCGACGACTCGTTGAAATAAATGAAAACGATTTCGTTTATGAACGACAGTACATGTGTCAGCGATTTAATTAACCACTTCCGCAGGGAACACTGCCGCACAGATGTGGCCGTTAAGCGCAAGTTATATTCAAATGTGCCCCCCCGGCGTCTAACTATGTTATAAAATTGTTCAGACACCGGTGATTTGCACGAGTGATTAGGTTTGATAAATCTTTCCGAAAAGTGTAGTGCAAATAGACGCAAAATATTAAACGAGAGATGTAATTTTTTGTACAGCGCAGGAAGTCACTGATCGAATGCAAATTAAATGCAAACTTAAAACATTCAACAAAATTATTTATTGAATTGGTTTGTCAATTAATGTGTATAATATCGTGGGAGAGAATTTGCGCGTCTCTATCTATGGCGGTCTGGACAATCACTTCGGATACGTTCGTTTTTCTCACAACTGTAATTCGCGTTTACACTTCCGTGTGTTTATCTTTACAGAGTTGTTAATTTTTGTTTATTATTTAAGTAATCACGAAGGACGGAATATTATTACGGAATATTATTTTTGCATCGCGCAAAGTCATTCCGCCGCGTCAATATTTTCCGCGGCACACTCGATGAGAACAAAACGAGATCTCGCCGGCGGTCTGCTTCATCTCGCGCGAAAGGTGAAAACGATCGCGCGGGAAAATACGCTTCGTCGACACCTGTCACGAGCACCGATGATCCTCTCCGTCGCTCACCTCTCATTTTCAGCCGATTTCTCGTATTTCGAGTACTTTATTCCCGCATAGTCCCTGGACCATCGCGCCCGTTTTCACGCGCCCTCCGGACGTGATTGGAATTGACATCCTTTCGTGTGGCGACAAGAATAAAAAAAAAAAAAAAAAAAAAAAAAAAATTTGCGCGATCGCGCTCGAACGGGGGAGGGGAGGGGGGAGGTGTCTATTGTGAAGCTGCTCGAATGCTTTTCATTCGTGCATTTATGGTAACGCGCAACACAAAACAAAGTTATTTTACGCTGTATACAATAAATTCTTTGTGCGCCGTTTAATACTTTCGTGTAACATACGAGCAGCCATTCTTCCCATAGAAATTTTTCAACAAGATTCTAAATTAATATTGATGCTGATGTACCTTCACACACCTATTTTTATTCTCAATTTAACGTGTAAAAAAAAAAAAAAAAAAAAAATAAATAAAAAATAATATTATACGTGTACAACGTGTTCTCAATTTGATAACATTGTAAATTCGTTATAAACAATTGAAAAGCGGCGAAGAAAAAACAGGTGTCACTTGTTTTTATCGAAATAGCTCGGTGGACGCAATTGAACGCAAAATATGTAGGACGCGGCGACGCGATTGATTTTGCGTCAAAATGTGATGATGATCACATAATTGCATAATATCTATTTCGAACGATACGTTATTTACTTCAGGATTCTCGCAATGCCGATTGGCAGTGTGCGCGAAAGCGAACATCGATAATGTATCGCTTTTAAAATGACGCAATGGTACTGATGTTACAAATTATTCCGCGCCATAATATCAAATTCATGCTCATTAAATTATGTTAATTACTCGAATAACGGCTCTCTCCGCGATGCATATGCGTTTTTCGTTTATAACACACCGGCGGCCTGCGCTCGCGCGCGCGCGCGTCGAATTCCCAAACGAACTCTCAAAAACGCAATGATACGTATTTATGAACAACCGAGGAACCGCGCTGTGTGGAATGCGCGACCTCAAAGTTGAAATCGCGACGATGGATCGATATACGTGAAAATCTCACGTGAAACATCTCTCATACCAACATTTACTGCGCGCAGAATGTACTGGAGAATTTACAATATTGCATACAACTAACAGATACACACAGATACACGCACTCACACACACACACGCGCGCGCGCGCAAAAATAACATAAAAATACTGAATAGAAAAATATAGCGTGTTTATATCGCGTACCTGAGCGTCTTTGCCGTGTGTAGGTTCGAAGTTTCGGCGATGTGACTCTGCAGGTATTGATTCAAATCCCCGTGCTCGCCGTTTTCCAATACGATGCACATGGGATCGTCCTCGAGGCTGGCACCGAGTAGCCGCGCGACATTTCGATCGGCGAGCCGTACCAGCCTCTTCGCCTCCTGTTGAAATTCTATCCTGGAAAGCACATGGAGCATCCGGAAATAATATCTTTATAGGTGCCCGGTGCGGCATCGCGAAGCCTTGAGTATTGAATACGGATGCGCGCTATAAGATATAAACTATATACATGTAAAAATACGCAGATGCTACTTTGTTTTCCGGTATTGTTCGCGCTTGTTTCACAGAGAAGGTCTTCGCGAGAAAGATAGAGAAAGAAGAGAAAAGTAGGGAAGCGTGTGTAGGTGGGGCGATGAGAGAATGGGGAAACTCCTTACCGGGGCACAAGGAGTCACTGCTATGAGTCACAAATAAGGACAAGCATCTATTGTGTTGGGCAAGCATGTGAGCAAACTCGTCGGTGAGTGCAGTCGATGTAAAACGAGTTGTAGACCGCCATACCGGAATGGTTTATGGGTTCGATAAGGATTCGACAGACTCTCTATTAAAATTGTAATCTATGGGCTTATATCTCTCTCTTTCTGAATTTTTCGACGCCAATAATATAACGGTCTTCTTATTCATGAATCAATATCAACGTGAAAAATTGCGCTTATCGTGTCACGGATCGATACTGTTATTTTTTGAATAATTAAGTTCGACCGTGAAAAGTGTTTTTATGAACATTACACGCACAACAGTGTAACAATGTTTATTAAATTGTAATTCGCGACGAGTAAAAAACTTTCTATTTTCATTGATTTTCAAGCTTTGAAACGCGCCATTTGCTTGTCGGACAAACACGATTTTAATTTCAAGAGCAAACACAAACCTTATTCGCGGGAAATAAAAGCGAAACGTGTCGCGATTATTAAAATCCGTTGACAAAATCTGGCAATCGAGCAGCGAACCATAATAGATTATTCGCAACGTATTGCATCAAACTATTGAAACACGGCGCGCGCGAGTCGCAGAAAATCTCTCTTTTGCGAATGCGAAATTTTTTCGTCGTGGTTTAAAACGTTAAAAACAAAAGAGAGTTTCTCTTTCTTGGGGAGGAAAAAATATCGTCAGTCGTCAGACAACGAAAATGCAATGGGATGATGGAAATCTATAAAGAAATGTTGGATTGACGGACTCTTTCAGAACAGCGTGGCGGAAGGACAGGCGCGGAAAGAGATGAAAGGCGCCCCGCCTCCGAGAACGATCGCGTTCTAACATGAGTTGCATCCCGTTTCGCGCGACGACAACGGGTTTCGCGAGCTTTTCCCAGTCGGGGAAATGTGTTTTGTAGACAATGCCATCCGTGATCCTGTCTGCGGGGATCATCCCTTTGCCGCTGCGACGACGACAACGCATCGTCGGCCCGATGAATCCGGCACGACACGCTCCACCGCATGTTTCCATCTCTATCGGCCTATTCTCGGTAAAAATCGCAATCGTCCGACGAACAAAACGTGGCGGCATCACGAATGCAATAAAAGGAAGTCTTTTATTGGCTGATGTAGTGCTTACGGTCGAGTTGCGAGAGCCTTCGTTTTCGCATGCACACACACACACACGCGCGCACGCACATGCGTGGGGTTAAAAAATTTCATATTCTTTGAAAATGAATCTTATAAAGAACACCGTGTGTGTTTTCATATCAATCGCGCGGATCGATGTCGTCATGTGTAAAATTACACGAAACATACAATTATGTGTGTAATGTGTAATTATGCACTTATTATACGGCGTGTAACCTAAGAGATCGCATGTTTCTCTCTCACAGGTTGCATCTAATTATAATAATAATAATAATTTTAATATTTATTGCACTTTGTTAATAATTTATTGATATTTATTGTTCTTTATGCTGTTTCTCGTTACATATAAAGAGAAGGAACAAAATACAATTTGCTCGAGCGTGTTATTTAATAAGATTAAATATAATATCCGTGCGGGATCGGCTGTTTATTAGTGAATTTTCAAATATTTTCGACGATGTTGCGGGGATATGCGCGCGCGTACGTGTGTATACATCGGTTTCGTTAAGTAGATCGTAATGTGGTGGGATTTAAGCAAAAATATATATGGGATTTTGAAAATTACGAGACGCAAATAATATTCAGCTAAATAATAATAATAATAATATTAAACTAAATGAATGGCAAATATCCCGTCACAGCCAAATATGACAAATATTTCCGCCGTCGGGCAAATTGCAGCTACGAAATATATTCCAAATACGGGAGTTTTGCGGTTTTAATTTTGTTAAAGGTTACCGAATTCTCTCCTTTCTTTCATTCATCGATTTATGAAAAATAATATTGACGCAGACGTGCGCGCCAGTGGAGTCGGGCTTATTCGATTATATGCCAATCATCGATCGCTTAAAGCCCTTCCGCATTATCCGGCCGCATCTACTTAATGCGCGTAGCGTGTCATTACATTCGGAATCACTTTGCGCAGCGTGATTGAATTATGCCGTTAACGCGGTCCTCTATAATCTACCGGAATAATTTTCTATCGTCGATCTATATACATGCGCGTCGCGGCTTTTGCTTTTCGATCTCACCACCGAGAGAAACGGCGATTTATGTATATACTTTTCAGTCATTTTTTTTCTTCAATACGGCATAGTCAAGTAGCAAAAATAAATTGTAAGATTCTCTTAATTTTTATTTTTATATTCAAAAGAAACATGTATGAAGTTTTTTCTTACCTGAGAGCGTCGGAAGAACCCGGTTTTAGGGATTTAACAACGACCAGATCGCTCGATGTATTTCTGAAGATCTCGTCGTATCCGGGAAACCTATCGACCTCACAGAGATGAACATCGCCGAAATATCCACAACCGAGATTTTCAACGATGTTGAGTTTCTCCCGCGGGAAGTCGAGAATACACTCGGGTATTTCTTCCTCTTCCTCCGTGAGCATATCCTCGGGACTGTAGCTAGTCATACTGCTGGAGGCTTTCGCGCTCATCGGAGGCGGTGTGCTCGGCGTAGGTGAGGGTGGCAGTGGTGGCAAAGAACTCTGCGATAAAATATGCAAATTGCAAAATCTATTTATTTATTTTTGATATTTATTTATTTTGCTTAAACATATTTGGCGAAGAGAACAGAACACGCGCCGAAGTAAAGATTTGTGTTTGTAAAACACGGTCTCTTATAAGAAATATAAAAAAAACTGTACATACACTGCGCAATAAACAAGAAAACAGTAAATATTTTCTGTTTTATCGCGAAAAAATATTTTAAAATAAGCAGCAATAGAAAAAAACATTACAAGAGTACATACAGGTTTTACAAGAGGATATTATACACATCACGAAAAATATCTTTTCCGCAATAAGATGTATACCTTGCTTTATTAATAAAATAATTAAACCTGATGATATACAATCAGCCAATAATGCTCACACAATGTGTGTATATAAACCTCACGACTACAATCAATAACCGCACCCTTTGCACATTATCGCTCTATAATCTGTGTATGCCCACGAAAGACGTTTTCTTCGCGATAGTTATGATTGATAGTGCTCCGCTGTTTCCTCGTTTTTCGGTCATTAATCCTCATAATTCACACAGGATGAAGTATTTTGCGTCGCGCATATTGTGTAGAATAAACAAGCCCGGTCGAAAACAAGATTAGATCAGAACCAATAATATATATGTCGTTAAAATTTCATGCAATGCAATTTGTGTTATCGATTACATATAAAAAACTTTTCCCAACAACTGCGAGAGTAGAGTTACAATACGATGATGCTTCAATTTCCATAAAAATAACACAAAGAGCAAAAAAAACTCTATATATATTTTTACATTGAGATTAATTTTTATTGCCAAAGCGGAAGTACACAGCCGCACACATCTGGACTCTGGGAGCGTGGAAAGCAAAAATTGAAAAGTCAAGTGGTATAATATTCGAATTAATTTCGTGATTTACATATGGCTCAGCGGCCTGTTTTGTAAAGTTGCCCTCTCTTTCGGTGATCGTGACGGAGATTCGACGGTCACGAGACGGTGTTTGACACAGTTTCGCGCTCGAAGTGCCTTCCCTCCTCCCCTCTGCATTAATGCCACAGGAAGGCTTAATCGGCACGGATCGCATGTCTACCGTACATTTTTGCGACTCACCTTACAGATCTCCGTACTGGCGTAATACTTTTCCGGCGGGGGTGGTATGGGCGGCGGGTTAGGCGGATATTCTTGGACCGCCGGAATTGGCCTGGCAAGATTGATCGTTGAGTTAAGCAAGAGCGGAATAACCGGCTGCACCTCGGTGATCCCTGTTCGAAACAGAAAGAAACGGAAAAAGTGAAGCGGGAAAAAAATTAAGAAAATTCAACAAAGTTAAAAATATAATCCCGAGCAGTCGGAAAGAAGAATTGCTGCAACGCGCCTTCCGCGCCTCACTTTCTTACTCTCTCTCGCGGTCGAGTTTCAAAGTTTCGAAAGATCGTTATCATTTTTTAACGAGACTTCGAGTTGGCAACGCCTCATCATTCAACTGTGACGAATGAAGTTCTATCTTCGCAAACTAACGGCGCTAACGAAAAATTGTCTATTTCGCAATTTATATTATAATATAATATAATAATATTATATATATACGTTGCACACATTCTCTCTCCTTCCCTCGTCATAGTTGTGTGATAATTGCGGACTCGAAAAACAAAACCGACTCATCCGGTACAAGTCACGACCGTCGCTTTCGACAGTTAATTAATCAAAGACTCTGGAGAGACTAATTCGATTAAACAAAAGAGGTCGCACTGCGCCGGTAAACAGTTTCTCCGCACAGGTTCTCTCTCTCCGTGTGCAGCAAGCTGTGCCAACTACCAGACGCAACGGAATAGTTGGTCGACTATTCTAACTACGTCGTGTAGCCGCGGCGAAACCAGGCGCAGAGATTCGAAACCTCGGCTTGACCGTCACTCGAGACAGCCCGTTAGAATTCCCGTGATAACACGAAACTATCCGTACCGATAGGGTCAAGTCGGTGGCCACGGAAGCGGAAACATCTTCAACGAAACTGGACGTGATACCCACGTTGATACTGATTAACATCCGGTATTATTCGCGTTTCTTGATAATATTGCAAAATTAATCTCACGAAAACTCGTAATACGTCCAATAATGCGTTCACAGGACAAAATACATTTTATAAAGCTTCAAAAGTAGACATGTAAACAAATTAACAAAAAAATTAAAAAGTGTGTCCGCATCAAATTGGCGAGGCAAATTTTTAAGAGACAAAATGTCAAGAGAAAAAGAAAATTCGACGCGTTCACAATTTCGTATTTAAACAAACCTCATGATAATCGGACTACAACGGTCTTAAGTACGTATTTAAGCGAGTACGAGTGTTCTAACAATCGTAATCTCGGTGAAAACTGAAACCGCGAACTGTGCGAAAGCGAGGGAAAATATTTAACGTACGTCCCTTCCTGTTAATAATACCAACCGGTAAAGTCCGTGACGGTTTTGTGTAACTGCGGTGTCGTCGTGCTGTAGGCGGCTGGCTGATATTGCGCTGGAAGCGGGGGGCAAATTGGTCCCTTGTCCTCGCCCTCCTCCCGCACGGAGACCTACGGCCGAATATCGAACGTTATCGTTAATGCACCTGACGTTTATGCACACGCCGACCGTGTGTATATCGCGCGTTAAAAGCGATATACCAATCGGTCGCTCTCTCCCCTATTTTCTATCTCCTTCTAATCCCCCGCGCGCTCTTATTCTCTTCTCAGATATATATACATGTGTGTATATCCATATATACATATATATATATATACAATATATATATATATATATATATATATATATGCGACGAAACGAGCGAGACACAACGCGAATCCCAAGGGATTGCACACGCCTGGTTATTGTGTGCCGAAGCGGCGAATGCCCGGCTGGCCTACTGACTCGTTACGTATTGTCGATAGCGTAAATTTATTTTACGATACACACGCTCCGTACACTCTATCATACAATAAACAGAAAGTAGAAAGTAGCACAAACTTGCCTGTTATTATCGATATAAAGAATCGAGTTGAAATGGATCCCTTACCGTTCGCAGAATGTGCGCAATGTTTTGTTACATTTCGCAAAAATAATTTTTTGTTGCATGTCCTATCCTTCCTATATAAAAAAAATCTATTTGGACCGCGAAGTGCATGTTTTGATATCGAATGTATCTATTCTATAGTTGTCTCTTACTATAGTTGCCTCTATATCATCTATTGTTACCTCTTTTCCGCGTTGCCGATTGGTTGGTTGATTAAGTCGAGTCGAGTCGAATCAAATCGGTAAGATCGAGAGAGTAAATAATGACAGAAAAGCGATTTTGATAGTCGTATATACATGGAGAAAAAAACGTGACTAAAGTAATGTGACTGTAATTTATATTATATATAACACTAAATAATACATATTATACATATAATTTATTATACAATATATTTATAATATTATACTTTATATTGTATTATATATATACTACAGTAAAGTCACTGACCTCGACCGGGTGATCGCGGCGGGGTCACTGACCTCGGCCGCGCGACCTTGGCGGGGTCACTGACCTCGGCCGCGCAACCGCGGCGGAGTTACTGACCTGCCGTGTGACCGCGGCAGGGTCTCTGACTTTGGGGGGTCACGTGATTACGGTATAGATATATACCCTAATAGGCAAATTGTGAAAGTATTGCACAAAAATGGCATCATGAATAACGATGATCCTGCAATGATTCCCCATAACGCAACAGTTTTGTCGAAATAAAATTTTGCAAATAATATTTCTCAAAAATTGCAAAAAAGTCGGTATGTATAAGTAGGGGAGACTGGGGCTGGTTGTGACACGGGTAAAAAGTTACAATCTTAAATTAGCGATGAAAAATAATTGCAACAACGATGACGCGTGTGACGCGTGACAGTTGTCGCGTTTGTCTCTTTTTAGCTTTAATGTAGCACTTATTTTTCATCACTAATCAAAGCTTGTAACTTTTTACCCGCGTCACAATCAGCTCCAGTCTCCCCTACATACATGAATTAAGTTAATTTCTTCATACGCAATTATATTTCTCTCTCTACATATTTTAAACATCATATAGCTGAAATTTTTTTTCAATTATTGGACAACTTCTTTTCGAAATTAATTTTGCAAATATACTGTTAAAATGATTCGTCATATCGTTATTTTTTTACCGAAATAGTATTTGAAAAGTAATTTTGGAAACAACTCCAAATATTTTAAAAAATCAATGTTTTTACATTTATGTCCTAAAATATATCTGTAATTGCAAATTACAATTTTGTGCAAGATTTCGTCACATAATTTTGTAAATGTTTTCCTATCAGGATATATACATGTGTGTGTATTATATATACATATAGAATATTATATATAATATGTATAATATTTTCTTTTTTACTCTTTTCTTTGTCACGTGACTTTAGTTACGGTGTTTTTCCATTCTTCCCTTTTTCTTTTATTCTTCGAGTTTGATTTTCATGCGTTATTTCTGACATCTCTCATATGGACATCATGTCCTATATTAAAAAAAGCATTTGGACCGAGAAGTGCACGTTTGGAGTCGAATATATCGCACCTATTGTTGCCTCTTTTCCGCGTTGCCGATTGGTTAGTTGGTTGATCGAGCCGAATCGAATCGGGGTCACTGACCTCGGCCGCGCGACCGCG